GCGATGCGGCGCGAACCTTTGACCCTATGCGGGAGGCCTCTAGAGGAGGAGGATCAGGGGTGCGAGGGTCGAGGTGATTGTTGGCGTTCTCGCCCCTCTCTTGAAGCTCACTCGCCGCCGCGGGTGGATCCGCTTCAAGATCCTTGCCAGGACGCATCCTTGCATAGTGGAGTGGGGCGTTTTTGAAGGAGCAGGAGAGATGAGGAAGAAGAGGAAGAGGAGGAGGAGGAGGAGGACCAGGAGGATCGAGGACCGAGGTTTTTGAGGAGGTTCCTGGAAGCCCGTTTCGGGCCCAGGGCCGTCATCATCAATATGGGATGAACAGTTGGCCCAGTTTGGATGCCTTGGGCCCCTCTTGGCCCGTCTTGGGGCCCTCTTGGGGCTGTCCTAGGCCGGCTCGGGGACTTTTTGGGGCCTTCATTGGTCTCGTTTAGCTTCTCGTTGGCTCCTCCGAGGAGCTCTTGGAACCATCTTGAGCCGAGGTTATCGGAATGGCTCGGGCATGCAGACATTAACAAAGTAATCATCTACAGAGGCAAGAGCCTTCCTGGGAGGTCTCCTTGGTCTTCTCTCCTGTGTGTTGGAAGCCTGTTGAGGCCCCTTTGGCACCTCTTCGGGTCTTCGTGGCGGCGGTCCAGTGCCTTCTGCCGAAGTCGGGCGATCCTGGTGTGGGCCGTTTGGGAAGCCATGGAGAGCACCGGAAAAGCGCAGCGAGGCGCCAGGCTGTCCGGGGTTTACCCTCGGAGAGTCGGCAACGCGCAGAGGGGAGTAGGGGGAGGGGGGAAGGCTTCTTAGAAGCAGGCGCCGGCCTTGTCTGTAGATGTAAGGCCCGCGCCTTCTAAGAAGCAGCCTCCTTTAAGAAGCCTTCCCCCCTCCCCCTACCCCCTTGCGCGCGCCGCCAAGAGAGGGTGAGTCGGCGTACGCAAGTCGACGCTGCCAGAACTGGGGGGGGGGGCCGCAGGCGACTCACATGGGCGCCGCGCCCAGGGGGGATGGCGGAGGGGGGCGGCCGTCTCGGAGGGCTCGGAAGGCCCCTGAGGTGCTTCTGCTGCTCGGCCTGCTGCTCCTCCTGCTGCTGCTGGTGCTGCTCCTCCTGCTGCTGCTGCTGCTGCTGCTGCTGCTGCTGCTGCTGCTGCTGCTGCTTGGTAGGCAACAGTTAGGCTTTGGAAGATAATCAAGATGAGAGAAGGACAAACTCTGGAACGGCACCTCAGCACTTCCTGCCCCTTCGTTCCCTTCCTCACCCCAACCCCCTTTCCGTTGGCCTCGCTCTCTGCCGCGTTGGAACGGCTGGTGTGCACGGTCTGGCTGCACACCATGGGCATTACGTCCTCTGCCGAAGAGCCTCCTCGGGCCTAAATCAGGCCAAGGAGCATCATGCACAGTAACAATACGGATGAGTATGGAAGGCAGATTATCACATGTCCTATAACAAGTGCAACTCTGCAAGCGAAAAGAATGCAACTCAGTACGAGGACCCAACAACTCTGAACGGTGCTCATAAGTAAGCTAGCTACTTCAAACTGGACATGTATGTGCGCAACAGCAACATCTATTGTTACTAAGAACTCATGGGAGGACTGTAAACATGCTGTTGCTGCTGCTGCTGCTGCACCCACCCGCGTCCTTTCAAGGACGACAGCAGCAGCAAAAAGAAATATGGAATGCGAGATTCTTGCTGCGCACGCTGGGACACCCTGGATGGGCATGCCTGGAACACGTGCAAACACAATCTGCAGGAGGTCAGTCACGAGGGCTGTCGGGAGCCAGAGGATGGCTCCAAGGCGTATGGCACGACGGTACCTGCGCCTGAGAAATCTCTTTAAATATTTGTTTCATCTCACTCGGACTCGCATTTTGAAATGAGCTGGTATACCTTGGATGCTTTGTCTCTCCCCGTCGTAGTCGAGAGACCGTTCCTCTTAAGATAATCATTCAATTTACTCTGTGTGATGCTGGGGAGGTTGGCAAACTTTTTTACCCATTCATCTCTCACCGTCGGCCATTCATCGAAGTTCTCATCTGGCAATAATTCTTTCGCCAACTGGAGCATCGCTTCTGGAATGGTGGTCGGTGTCTGATCGGGTTCATATGGCGGCTCATCACTCGCAAGGAGAAGCTTGCCTTTGGGGATCTTGGGCTGGTTCGTCTGTCCCTTGAGTAGCTCCTCAATCTGCAACTTCAGGGCCGTCAACTCAGTATCTGTTGGAGTCATAGCGCTGCTGGCACCACTGCTCGAAGATCCATTCGCCATCGAAAAGAACTGCTGCATCTGCGATAGCATCGTTTTCATATCATTCGGTTTTGCTTGCTGTACTGGCATACTCGGGATGTCATCACTGGGTGATTTGTTCATCATCATCTGCATGAGCATAAGTATCTGCTGCTTCTCTGTATCACCTTTCTCCGTTTTCTTTTTGATCATTTTTTGCCACTGCCTGCGCACTGTCTTGAAATTCAAGGTCTGGGCTGAGGAGGACGATGATGATGTTGTACTGCTCGAAACTGACGTGTCACTATCTCTCGCCTTGAGAATCTTTTTTCCCACCAGTTTGAGGAACGAAAAGGGTTGCTTCTTCTCACTCTTTAGAATGCAATCATTTTTTTTGTCTTGTTTGACTTATTATCCTTCTTTTCTTTCTTGTCAGGAACCGAAAGACCGAGCATCTCTGCAACTGTGTTTTGTACTGTGGTGATGAAATTCTTCTTTTCTTGTCGTGCTGCATGTTTCTCCTCTCGTGCTTGGAACGCCTCGTTCGCCTTGCGCACCTCCTGCAGGGCACCCTGGACATACGCATCCTGGCTACTGTAGTTGTTCTGGTACTGAGGCTTCTGCTGGTACTGCTGCTGGTTCTGGTACTTCTGCTGGTTCTGGGACTGGCCTGGCATGAACTTCGGCCGCTGCCCACCACCACCATTGTCACGCCACGACATGACTGCACACTGGTGGCAACTGGTGGAAAGGATCACCGCGAGGTGGAATGAGGCAATCAACATCATGCTCAAACCGAGAAGGCTACGGATAGGGACCCAGGGCTCAGAAAGAAACGTACAGGGCAGAAACGACTGAATGTGCCGTTTGGGCTGACCCCTTCGCATCTCATAGTTCTTCCAGAACTGTGCCTTTTTTTCGGAGCAGCTTACCCAGCTTCCTAACAACAATGATGTAGGCCGACGAGTGACACCGGGGAAGGTTACACATTCCTGCTCCGATGATTTCTGGGGGCCAGCCAAGACGAAACAATTCACACACAATGTCCACAGTTGCTTCCCTCGCACGCTCAGGTCTTCCTTCAGCCATAAAGTTAAAATTAATGATTCTTTCCCACACCTTAAGGTGGATGAATCTTTGTGGGAGGCTCCTGGGGCAGGATAGATACTCTGGAAACTTAGCAACCTTTGGTTGATCAACCTCTCCTCTAGCAAAAGCACGATTAAGTGAGAAAACATTACATACAAATGACTGTCTAGCACCTTTCTGTGCTGTGATTCTAGAAAGCATGTCAACAATTCGATGGGCACCTCTCTCAAACTTGGCATCTTTGAAGAACTGTGATGCGTCTGCTTTGCAAAAACTGGTGGCTTGGGCTTCTTACATCTGGCACAACAACATTCATAGTTGGGAACATAGCATTCCAACATCCCCGTCTCATGTGAAAAGCACTTGCCTTTATATGTGAGGTATGCTGATGCAACATCATCAGGTGAGGCCTGCAGTCGGCTCCGAAATTGTTTCGGAACCAGTTTTTTTTTATCACGCTTACGCTGCTGTTTGGCCACCTGTTTTCTTGTGAGCTTCGGCAAATATGTATAATGTATGGGGTCATTGAGGAATGTCTCTCCGAGAAGGATGAGGTATGACTGCCAAGAAGCACCTGCTCTCCGATGTGGGTCTTTGTCAACTCCCACCCATACTGCTCCCTCGAACTCCTCAAGGGTGCACTGTCGGATGCACGCAAGTGGGGCTCTGGCGGGCGTATATACCTTCTCTCCTGCAGAAGCAACCGTTGGAGCTGGCAGTCTGCCAGCAGTGGCATCAAAGCTCGGAACAGACTCTTGTTTTTCACGCGCAAGTGTGAACAAGGCATGCATGCATTTTTCCCGCAACTGCTCAACGTCCACAAGTCGGCCAAACTTGCTGACAATCTGATGCTTCCAAAAATGTACGCGCAACTGCTGCTCAATCTCTGTCCAAAGCTTGTGGTCATTTGGAACCTCTGGCAGGCTCCAATATAAATTAGACCAAGCAATGGCTGTCTCAAGTTTGTTCTGACACTCAGGCTTTTTTGTATCTCGTGGTAGAATGGCACTGCGAAGGCAGCTGCAACTTTGTTATGCTGTGTGATAGGCTCACTGAATCTGGGAATGGCTGCACTGACCACTCGCAACTTGGACTTAAAATACGCAAGCAGAAGCGGACGCCTAGCACAAATCTGCTGCAAGTAAGTGTGTCCAACATCACGCATGGCACGTATGACGGCTGGCTTATCATGTGGTATGCGAGTGTAGAACACGTATCTTGACAACAGGTTGCCTGAGTGCAGGAAACTCTCAATTTTTCCTCTGGCGCATTGGCATTGTCCATATTGTAGCATAGCAGACTCTTGCGACATCTTAAGACAGTAGTCGACCACGTACCCGTGGCGCCACATTCTGTGGTAATTGAGTCTTGTGCCGTGCTGGGATAGATATATGGCCAACCATGCTTCATATCCACGCAGATACATTGTTGCTTCAACTCTTTTTTTGAGAGACCATATTTCTCAACACAATACTTAACGAGCAGATCAAACGTACATTTGTTTTATAGAATCTGTTGCGAAGCTCACGATCCTGTTGTATTCCTGATACCAAATTAAGCGCACATTCCCTGTCCACGCCAGGCTTAACACGCTGCCATTTATATGGGCGTCTCGTTTGGGGCTGGTTTTTGTGGCTCGGGTTGGGCGCTGCACGTTGCGACGGGGGATGCAATATCTGGATACATAGGTCTTCAAATCTAAGAATTCTATCAGTCGTGCTAAATGCAATTGGCAAAGAGCAAAGTGACCACGCTGCTGTGTTTCCCCATGTTTTATATCTGGGTCTATGTTTCTGGCTACCCTTCTGCTGGAAGGAGGCTTCAAAGTGTTCACGGGATCTCCGTGCTGGTCCATATTTGGTCCGTTTATTGGCCTCTCTCTTTTTCCTTGGGCTTTGCCAAGGTACCACGCACCTGTCTCCGTTGAAACTGCAACATAGAGCATGCATTCAGGATTGTCTTTTCTCTCAGGCTCCCACAATGCAATGCGCAGCTGCTGCACATAGCTTCGCCAAAAGGGCTTATTAAATTGTCTCGCAAGAAGGGCATACTGCAATGCGGGCTTACACGCACGTAATAGAACTCGTATGTATGTTTTTTGTGCACTATACTTCTGGGAAAAAGAACAACGTTTGTACCATGCTGAGCCCATAGAAACAATTCCATATAATATGGTTCGATCTGCCTCTTTCAATCCATATGGCGAACAAGCACCGTATTAGTCTAAGACGTATATATTCTGATGGATCTTGGAAGCCTTCTTGGGCCCAGCGTACAAAGTGCGCTGTAATAATATGGGCCTTATTAGTATGCTTCTGTCCATCAGTCGTCCATCCAAGCCAACAGACAACTCTTGAAAGAATCTCGGCTGGGGTCCTCTCATATATCTTGGGTTTCCTACTCGTAACTGGCAATGAAGGATAGAAGAGACGGCAGTGGACCAGGGCTGGTTCACTGGGGGGGTCCACACTCGCTGCATTGGGCATCGTACCTGAACTTGGCATTTTATACAACCCCGCCTATAAGAAGGAACACTGGGTTGAGCTGCTTGGTAGGCAACAGTTAGGCTTTGGAAGATAATCAAGATGAGAGAAGGACAAACTCTGGAACGGCACCTCAGCACTTCCTGCCCCTTCGTTCCCTTCCTCACCCCAACCCCCTTTCCGTTGGCCTCGCTCTCTGCCGCGTTGGAACGGCTGGTGTGCACAGTCTGGCTGCACACCACGGGCATTACGTCCTCTGCCGAAGAGCCTCCTCGGGCCTAAATCAGGCCAAGGAGCATCATGCACAGTAACAATACGGATGAGTATGGAAGGCAGATTATCACATGTCCTATAACAAGTGCAACTCTGCAAGCGAAAAGAATGCAACTCAGTACGAGGACCCAACAACTCTGAACGGTGCTCATAAGTAAGCTAGCTACTTCAAACTGGACATGTATGTGCGCAACAGCAACATCTATTGTTACTAAGAACTCATGGGAGGACTGTAAACATGCTGTTGCTGCTGCTGCTGCTGCTGCTGCTGCTGCCGCTGCTCCTCCTGCCGCTGCTCCTGCTGCTGCGGCGCTCCCTCCCCCATCCCCCCCCCCTGGCGGCACCGAGCAGCAGAGGGAGCAGCAGGAGGCCCGTCTCGGCGGGCCTCCGGAGGAGCCTGCCGAGTCCTCTCGGGAGCCACGCGTGGCTGGTCAGAAGGCTGGAGGGCTGCTGAGAGGCTCCAGGCCTCCCAGATGGCGTCGGAGCAGATGGGGTCGGAGGATCGCGGCGCATCGCCGTGGCATCGGCGATGCATCGGCGATGCGGGTCGAGGTGGGGCCCTATTTTCTGCACGCCGACGTCGCAGATGTATCGCCGACGTCGCCAGTGCATTGCCGATGTATCGGCGACGCGGCGAGATCCTGGGAGGGCTACTGGGAGGCCCAGCCGCCTGCTGAGGTGGCCTGCCCCTCTCGGCCACGCGCAGAGGGGGGGGAGGGGATAGGGCTCCTTAGAAGCACCCCTGCTTCTTAGAAGCCGCGGGCCTTGTGTGCGGATGTAAGGCCGGCGCCTTCTAAGAAGCAGCCTCCTTCTAAGAAGCCCTCCCCCCTCCCTCCACCCCCCTGTGCGCGCCGCCAAACTCCCGGACCTCCAGCGCCGACGTCCCAAGCTGTTCCCATCCGCCCGCCCCGCGGAGCGGAGCGGCACGCTGTCCACCTGCAGGGGGGCAGCGTGTCGCCGGGGCCGCAGCCGCGGCACGCGGAGCAAAAGCTCCCGACCGCATCTCCGCTGCGCGTTCCTCCTTTCCTCCCGATGACGATGACGATGGCGATCGTCATCGTCATCGCCGCTTGGGCGCGCCGCCAACCCTCGGCCTTCCGTTCTCGATGCGCCTCCGAGCACAGGGTCGGATGCCTTGGGCAGGAGGGGGAGGAGGAGGAGGAGGAGGAGGAGGAGGAGGAGAGGAGGAGGAGGAGGAGGAGAGCGAGGAGGGAGGGGGATGAGGGAGGGGGAGGAGGGAGGAGGAGGAGTAGGAGGAGGAGGAGGGGAGGAGGAGGAGGAGGAGGAGGAGGAGGATGAGGAGGGAAGGAGGAGGAGAGGAGGAGGAGGAGGGAGGAGGAGGAGGAGGAGGGGGGGGAGGAGGCGGAAGGAGGAGGAGGAGGAGGAGGAGGAGGAGGAGGAGGAGGAGGAGGAGGAGGAGGAGGAGGAGGAGGAGGAGGAGGA